AAATCCACTGGGCTATAGACTCCTTTGCGGGTACAAAAGCACCTGGACTAGACGGTATATTCCCAGCCATGGTACAGGTGACCAAAGACGTGATCACCCCATGGCTCTCTGCAATATACTCAGCTTGCCTGAGCACAGGCTATATCCCTATCCAATGGAGGACCTCGAGGATTGTCTTCCTTCCAAAGGCAGGAAAGTGCAGCCATATGAGCCCCAAGGATTATAGACCGATAAGCCTTACATCCTTTCTACTCAAAACACTAGAAAAGCTGCTGGATCTACACATCAGGAATGATGTAGGGAGACTGATGTCAACCAACCAGCATGCCCACACCAAAGGGAAATCGGTAGAGACGGCACTGCACTCGCTAGTAGCCACCATCGAGAGAGCCCTCCATAATAAAAAGTATGCTCTAGGAGTGTTCGTAGACATATCCGGAGCATTCAACAACGTCACCACGAACGCTATTATGGACCGCCTAGAAGCGACCAACACACATCCCGCAATCAACCTCTGGATAAAGAACCTTCTAAGTTGCAGACGGGTGCAATCAGAGTGGGGCACCGCTTCCATGGTGAGGGGGGGCTCAAAGAGGCACACCACAAGGTGGGGTCCTGTCGCCCCTCCTGTGGAACCTGGTGGTCGACGACTTAATAAAGAGATTCGAGAGGAGAGCCCCAAAAATAACAGCCTATGCAGATGACATAAGCATAATTATTACGGGAGTATGTCCATCGACCCTCAGCTCCATAATGGAATCCACACTCAGGGAGATATGTGAGTGGGCAGGAAAAGTAGGACTCAGTATCAACGCGGACAAGAGATACAAGGTACCGGCATGGATCCCCTTGAAAATTGATAAAACCAGGCTGACCCCGAAAGCACAAGTCAAATACCTCGGCATAGTACTGGATAGCAAGCTGGCATGGAGGCCCAATGTAGTGGAAAGGGTGAAGAAGGCCACCATTGCGCTATACGCATCCAAGAAGATGCTTAGCAGCATATGGGGCCTGTCACCTGCTCTAATGCACTGGATCTACACCTCGGTGGTGCGACCGACTCTGCTGTACGGAGTCTTAGTGTGGTGGCAAGCGACAGAAAAGAAGACGCACAATAAGCTTATGGAAAGGACCCAGCGGCAAGCACTGCTCTGCATTACGGGGCGCTGGGGTAAACCCCGACAAAAGCTCTCGAAACCATAATCGGAATCGACCCCCTGGACATCCACGCTCAACTGACTGAAGGAAAGGCGGCACAACGCTTAGTAGCATCAGGCAATATGTCTCTACAAGGATTCGGGCACAGTTCAATTGGCCGAGACATGACCAGTATATCTGACTACATGAACCCCCAAACTGGCCTGGATGTAAATACAACCTCATACATGGGACCCGACGATTGGAAAAGGGGTCGGGACCAGACTCAACACCTTAACATCTATACTGACGGCTCCAAGATGGAAGGAGGAGTAGGAGCAGGCATATACTGTACAGACCCTGAGATAAGGCTGTCCTATAAGCTACCGGACCAATGCAGCATATTCCAGGCGGAAGTCTTCGCCATACGGAAAGCGGCAGAGGCTGCTCAGTCTACGGATCGTCCACACGACGTGATCAACCTGTTCGTGGACAGCCAGGCGGCGATAAGATCCATGCAGTCGTCGGCGGTCAGTTCCAGAAATGTCTTGGCAAGCAGGGAGGCACTAGATATCCTAAGCACGACAAAGTCAGTGCGGATGTACTGGGTTCCCAGCCACCAAGGCATCGATGGCAACGAGATGGCGGACGGTCTGGCTAAGGACGGCGTCGGGCTAGCAAACGACAGAACTGAAAACGTGCCTGTCTCCCTTAGAACGCTCCAAAGCGATTTAGAGAAACGGGCCGACACACAGGCAAGAAGCAGTTGGAGCAGAACCACCACCTGTAGAACCTCAAAAACCATGTGCAAGGAGCGCAATAGGAAACTCAGCCACTACATACTGCACCTCCCACGGAAGGACTGCAGAATGTTGGTGGGAATACTCACAGGTCACTGTCTGGCCGCGGCACATGCTGTCAAACTAGGCATCACCAACAGTGGCAACTGCAGGAAATGCGAGGAATCCGGGGCAACTGAAACCCTGGAACATCTCATCTGCAACTGCCCGGCTCTCTCAAGGGCTAGGAGAATATACCTGGGCGCCCCGGTACTGGCATCACTGGAAGATGCCTCCAAAAGGACGCCAGGGGAACTGCTAGCCTTTGCCAAAAACACTTCGATTCTTAAGGACTTCAAAACTTCATAAATATTTTCGAAAGGTTCATACACCCCCATCCGGACAACTAAGGGCCATATTGGCCTATGCGTGGCCCCGTGAGGGGCGTCTGGGTTAACCTAACCTAACCTTTTAAAGAAACGTAATTTTTCACTATTTTCAATTTTAAGCGAGATATAAAAAAGGCCATATTTGGCCAAGCATTGGACTGGACGAAAAAATAGTTGCAATGTTCAGCAAACAAACAAAAGAAAATACGATTACTACAATTGAACCTTTAAGAAGATATTAGCTATTTTCCATTCCAACACAAGCTAACTAAACGCAGTGGCGTAGCTCGGTAAGAAAGGGTCCCGGTGCAAAAAAAAAAATTGGGGCCCAACCTAAAGTCAGATACTTTATCATTAAGAAGGTTTTGTGTGAGCTTTATGGATTAATAATTTTGGTATTAGGACATGAGGTAAATCGAATTCTTTATTTAAAATGTATGTGTTCAAAAAACTTTATTGTACATTTAACAAAATTACAATCTTTATTTTTCATTACTTTTCGCAAAATTACAATACTCGACAAAATTTAACTTTTTATTTCCGATTCGAACAGAACCGACTTTTTCCCGATAGATTACTTTTTTACAGCCGTACTCAAAAAGAGTTAAGGGGTATATTAAATTTGTGGTAAAAGTGGATGTGTGTAACGCAGAGAAGAACACGTTTCCGACCCCATAAATAGCCGAGTCGATAGAGCCATGTCTGTCTGTCCGTCCGTCCGTTTTGTTTGTCGGCTGTTTTGTTTTGTTTCCAGACTCATATCTGCGTACTGCTACAAGTGTATTTCAAAATTTCGCCTTCCGCATTCCGCCAACACAAAGGACGAAAATCTGTGGCAGGCACAATTTTAAATATACGATAAAACTAAAAACGCAGTATCGTAGAGAATGACCTCTCTACCAGATTACCGAATCTGAATCAGATCGGATAGTATTTTTAGCCAGAATGAAGAAATGAATTTTCAGTTGCTTTTTTAAATTCTACATTAATCACAAAAGCTCAAAAATGTATATACTGAGTACGGGTACACGTTCCTTCTCGTTTATATTTGTTTATACAGTGAACAATGCCAGCAAGACGCCAGGGGGCCCAGTTGCACCGTCGAACAAATAATAAAATATTCATGAGACATAGTAGAGAAGAAAGAACATTCAAACGAATCGAAGAAGATAACGAAAAAGTGCGTGAGGGCATGTCGCAATTACATGAATCTCAATCAAAACAGGTACGAAATGAATGAAATGAGCAAAGACAATTGGAACAGAAACGTGGGCGCCGCTACATTAGTCCATTCGCAAATGCAAATGATGCTTCCAAGTGACATCGTTTGAAGCAACAGAAATAATCAACAATACTGCGGAAAATGTTAAACAATACAATTCTACATTTGAAATCAAAGGAAAAGCTTACCACAAAATAGGCTCATTGCTGCCAATGTTTAGCGAAGCACATTTACAAATAAACTTCATAAATCATAAATCTCGCACTCGCTCATCGCGTAGATTCTCGTTGCGCTTACAATAGCCTTACTTCGGCAATAGCCAGCCGCATAGTTGGAATGTACGAACTACTTAAGCATCACAATGAATTATTGAAATTATTCATCAAACAAACATTTAAGTCTTTAATAAGATTTATTACAAAATTACACGTATTCAGTCAAACAAAATGCTGGATGTATTAAGTTGAACGGAAAAAACGAGTATTACTTCATGCACACATTTTAATTTGGTTAGTCGAAAAATACCCTCTAAGGAAACAGAGAGTGTAATTTCTGCAAAAATTCCAGATCCGTCTACTGATCAACTACTGTTCGATATAAATACCACAAACATGATTCATGGCCCAAGAGGTGATATGAATCGCTTATCGTCTTGCATTCAAAATGGAAAATTTACAAAGCCTTGTCCAAATGTTGAATTCTGCAGTTCAGTAAAATTTATCAAATACATTTGCAAGTATATAAATAAAGGCAGCGATATGGCTTTGATTCAAATTCAAAATGCTGATGTGAAATGATTTAATGAAACTAGTATTGTATGTTTTGTATGACTATGTTTTTTAAAGATATGAATGAAATTATACTAATACACAACAAAAACAAGAAGGAACGTTGTGAGTGCCTTCTGTGGACGCGACTCTTCTTTTATACCCGTACTCAGTCAGTATATACGGTGGGGAGCAAAAGTGATTATATACTCAGTATCACCGACTTTCGTCTCCCATAACAGCTAAACGAATAAAGCAAAGAAAACCAAATATTTTTCATATATCAATTACTTTATTCTTAGAAAATAACAGAAACAGATGGGAAGCTTTCATAGAGAGAAAAATAGAAAACCAAAACAGCTCGCATGTACTCAGTTTTGACCTTTTTACAAAAATTTAAGAAAATCACTTAAACTTAATATTTTGTCCTGGATGGGGTGGGGGTACCCACTGCACATTAATTTCTTCATTCTGGCTATAATAATGATCTGAACCAGATTCACCAATCTGGTAGATATGGTCATTCTCTACGAAACTGTGGAAAGGGCGAAAAGGGGCGAGGCGAAATTTTGAAATGCACTTGTAGCAGTGTGATATCCACTGAGTCTGAACACACAATTTTGTTGCTCTAGCTCTTATAGTCTCTGGGCGAACCTAGTTGAACCTTACCCTTAAGAACCTTAATTGAACAATTTAATTTGATTACCTGAATATGTGTGAGTAATCCTTATTGGCACTTGTGTTTCCTTTAAGCTGCCCCAAAGCGGTTTGTTTAGCTCTTTGTAGTATATTAGTCGAATCTTCATTACCAAAGTCTTGGTAAAATTCTTTAATATTGTCCCTTAATTGATGAAAGCGCCCTGTTATTCCCTGATACTGGTGTAACTTTTCCATAGTGTAACGAAGCTTATATTAATTCAGTAATTTTAATTCTGCACTAAAATCTTTTATGGTTTCACGAATTTGTCAATAAAAATAACACACGTAAGTGAAGCCAACACAGTTGCCTGTTCATGTGTAAGTGCACTCTGTTGTAACTAATTTATAAGAACTGAGACATTTTCGTATTCGAACGTGACCTTTCCAACAAATTTTAGCGAGCATGCGTTAACGTTGTGAAACTTTAAGCTGTTCCAGTATACTTACAAACAGTATACATACTCGTATAAAAGCATAATACAAATACGTACGTAAATATATACATATATTTGCATAGGCAACAACTACAGTGAGCGGTAACGGCTTGGAAAAAAAAACGTTCCAAACTTTCTGTACGCTTGTGTTTGTATCGTCAAAGAGAACAGGAGGGGAAGGTTTGTTTCGAGGCCGAAGCATTTGATACCCTTCGTTCGTTCTTTTCCTCAGGTAGGGTATTATCATTGACAAAAAGATTTCACCAAGTATAAATAATTTAACAAATCAGAGGTGCCACAGAAATCCCGAGCGAAATGGAAATCCGTGCAGAGGATTTTCGCGTAAAAATTTCAGCGGTGCTACAGAACTCCGAGCGTTTTTATTTTTCTTAACAATTTAACAAACAAAATTCGAACTAAGACTAACTCCTTCCAAGCTTAAATTATCTCAGCGTTCATTTCGCAGTTTCATTAATATGAGTTTTCGCAATGAGTTTTGAATATTTTTCTTATATGATATAAAACATTTGATTGTTCAAAGATGTACTTTTATAATTTCAAAATAGCTAAGAAGGAACGTGTGAGTCGCTTCTGCTGACGAGACTCTACTTATACCCGTACTCAGTCAATATATAAATTGTTGAGCGTATAACTTATTGAGAATTCAAAAAAAATGTACATTTTTAGTCTGGACAGCATTTCACAACGCGTGCTTTCTCGTTTCTGCTCGATCCAAAACTGATCTCGCTCTTCATTTTATTCTTTTCGTTTCTCCTTCTTTTTCTCTGCATTGAGAGTATCTCTATATGTGTTGGTGCTGAGAGCATAATTACAGCCCTGCAGCTCTGGCTGTCACGTCATGAAAGTGTCATAGGAAAAATTGTTCGGGCTCGACGTCGACAAAGGCAGCGACGTCGACGTCAGCATGAAATTCTGACCAGCTTCAACTGCTGCAGATCGAAGCTGACTCGTAAGAAAGAGAAGCAGATGTCCATAGATTTCCCTCTCTCTCATATTTTTAGTTTTCTGCACCTGCATTTGACCCTAACTCTTCTACTCTCGCGCATTTCGTCTCCTCAAAGGGATGTGGGGAGAAAAACCGATTACACTAGTCAACACGATTTTTCCTCAAGGAACAAAACGAACTTTTTCTTAAAGATTTCGGGCTTAGAAATGGTTTGATGATATTTGATTTTTTCTATGGCAGAACTTTTTTTTAAAGAATTTTTGAAAACTAGTATTTTTTTTAAAGTTTTTTTCAGAGGTAGCGCTTTGCTATTTTGAAAAGATAATTAAAACAGCTAGAAGTTAAGCCCAAACACTTTGTGATTACAGCTTACCGTCTGGGAAATATAAAGCATTGAAATGAAAAAATTATGATTTTTGTGCGGTATTTTTTACGAAATTTTGACTTTAAGGTATCGCTCATTAAAATCTATGGAGAGACTTTGGAGCTAAAATTCGTTAACCAAACCTAAAATATGGAAAAAATTAACAAAAAATACCTTTCGAAAGGTTGCGAGCTTAATTTACTTTTCGCAAGACTTTTGGAGGAACACAAAGCCAAATTCATTTCTGGAGTATGTGATTTAACGGGTGAATTCAAATAGGACATATTTTGGATTGATGGACCTTGCGAAAAGTAAATTAAGCCATGAGACAAATCGGGTACCAACTGTAAGGCATGGCGAAGGTAGCATAGTGGTTTGTGGGTGTATAGGTGCAGCTGGAGCTGTACGAATGGTTTTCATTGATGGCAAAATTGACAAGGATATGTACAATGATAGTTTGAGTGACAAATTGCATCCATGTGCCATTAAATTTGGGCATATTCCAAAGGCCATCTTGTACCAGCCAAAAAAATTCCGAAAAAATGCATCTTTATTTGATCAAATCTTGCTCATTTCCCACTTCAACCAGCTGAAAACTCAGCTCCAGTTACCTGACTTAAGTTCCATAAAGCATGTTTGCAGAAATTTGGAAAAAAGGATACGAACACCAAAAATTTCATCGAAAGAATCCTTAAAAATGGCTCTGCTTGTTTAGTGGGTCAATATTAATGCATAGGTCACCAAAAACTTTGGGGAAAAGGTGTGCCGAGGACTTATAGACATCATTAAGAATGAATGTGTAGCTGTAATATTCAAATATTACTTGAAGAACCTAAAGACTGTCCGAATAATTTATCTGCGTCAAAAAGTGACTTTTTTGCTTTAGTTAATTTTTATAAGGATACCATAGTAGAAAATGTAAATATTTTTTTGTGAACGGATAGTAGATTTGTTGATCTTTGATATAAAATTAACTTTTTATGTTTAACTTAACCGTACGCCGAGTTATAGGTGTTTAAACTAGAGTGACAAGGGTGTCCGAATAATATGTGTGCCTACTGTATGTGTATTGCTTTATAAAAATCAGAACATAACTCAGAAGTTAGTTCAGAAAATATTACCTTCCATGGCTAAATATATATATTTTTTTTTTATCATTTCAGGAGCATTGGTGCTCATTAACCCGATCGAGTCGGTTAAGGAAGGCCCTACAGATAATTAAAAATAATTAAATCAACGAAAAATCTAGAAAATCTGTGTAAAATAAATATATTTACTTTTATTTGAATGAAGTGTTTAAAGAAATTTTTGGGTGGCTTTCACATATGAAATTATCAGGTGATTTCATATAGGACATTTCAAAAGAGTCACGAGTGATTTTATATGGGACATTTCGAATGAGTCACGAGTGACATTTTCGGAAGTTTCCCCAGTGAAATCACTCGAGGCATGTCCCGAGTGATTTCACTCATGGCTTATACGTATAAGCCACCGGTGAAATCACTAGAAAATTCAGTGAAAATTTCATATGAAGTTTCACGAGTGACAAAAGCGGATATGTCCATACAAATATCATCTGGAGTTTCACCAGTGAGTCACCAGCGGCAGAGGACATGCCATGAGTGATTCACCGAATGAATCACGAGTGAAAATTGACTTTTGGAACTGCAGGGAGTGTTCTTAATTGTTAGTAATATATATTTGTACAGTGGTATTAGGGGATAGTACTGCTACAATTCGGCCTATCCTCACAGTGAGGATCTCCTGATTCTCTTTGCCATGTTTCTTGTTATTATGCTGCTCTCAGCCATTTTTCTCAACCTTTTTTTTTCTTGAATTTTTTCTTTAAATTTCGCTTGCTATTATCTTATACCGTGAATCAGCTACATCCTCATCATTCTTATTTAAATTGATTTCATGTTCATGTTCATCATTTACATTTTCATTTTCTAACTTTACATTTACATTCTCTTCATTATGTGATGATTCATTATATAAATTTTCTTTTTTATATAATTCAATATTTACATTTTGTTGATTACTTACATCTTCTTCATCATCTAACTCATTATTTACATTTTCTTCATCATCTAATTCATTATTTACATTTTCTTCATTGTCAAATCCAATATTTACATTTTCTTAATCACCTAATTCAATATTTACATTTTCTTCATCATTTAATTCATTGTTTACATTTTCTTCATCATTTTATTCTTTGTGTACATTTTGATCATAGACCCATGGTTTAATATTGTGGACAGCCCATATTCCTGAATAGGGGATTTGAGTTTGTTGGAATCCTTCTATATATTGCACAACATACCTATCGTTATCTAAAACTTTTGAAATTCTATACGGTCCCTTGAACTGGAGATAGTTTACTGGACGTTCCTGGTTGTGAGTTGAAATTTCTAATCATAATATAATCATCAATAGAATATACTCTGGGTCTATGTCGCTTTGTATCAACGTAACTCTTATTGTACTCTTGAACTTTCTGTTGAACTATTGCTGCTTTGCATCTTTTATGATCTAAGTCTCTTTGATCGCTACTTTGATTTTCTTTGATTTTCTGTTCTCTTTTAAACTATCTTACTATTGCCCTTTTGTTATACACCAAAGAGCATTACGCTCGGGTATTCGTCTATGCTTCTATTTTTTGTGTTATTCATTGCAAACTCCACTTTGTCCAATACTTTATGCCATTGCTCATTTTTTTCTACGTCTCGAATCTTGGCAATCATTGGTCCTAAATCTCTATTAATTCTTTCCACTTGCCCGTTAGCTTGCGGAGACCCTGTTGCTATTTTTATGTGTAGGGGGGTACAAGAATAACAAAACTTTGCACAAATTAGTTCGTTTTAATCTTTTTTTATTCCGCTTCGTGAGCTTTCCGCCGATCGTATTCCAACCAACCAGTCCCGGCTCGATCAAGATCTCCGCTTCCTCCCCTATCGATATTCTTCTCCCGATCTATTCTAATATCTTCTACTCGCAACTCCACTGCATGTATCGAGTTGGTGAACGATGCTTACGCGCGCTCCTTAATATTTAAATGGTGTCTCTCTAAGTATTTACAGTACTCTACTTATATTACTACAATTCGGCCATCCTGACCGGAGTGCTCCTGAACTCCTTACAGTTGCCTTGGCTTCTTGTTGGCCTTCTTTTTTGTTACAGGTGGTTTCATTCTTATTTTACTATCCTTAATCTATATATTACAATCGTTTTGTCTGTCATTTTTCCCTGTGACTTTTGCCTCGTTTCCTTTTCCCAGCCATGGCTTCATATTCGCTACCGCCCACACTCCTTTGTACGGGATCCTAGACTGCTGAAATCCTTCTACATCTTCCAATACGTATCTATCGTTTCTTAACACTTTAGCTATCCTATACGGCCCTTTGAACTTCGGAATAAGTTTTTTAGATACCCCTATATGGGCATCGAAGTTTTTCACCATGACTAGATCGTTGTCTTTGTATACATGTGGCTTTTTCCGTCTTGCGTCTGCTGCCTGTTTGTTGTAGTCCTGTACCTTTTCCTGATGAGTGTTTGCTTCTGATCTAATTTTTTCTAAGTCCCTGGTCACTCGTTGC